GCCCCCCCGGCCCCCCCCCTGCCAGTCCAAAACCAGCTGATCAGGGGCAGCATGGACACAACGGCAGGATGGGCCCTGGCGCTGTCCCTGCTGGCCCCTGATCTGCTGATCAGGAGTTAGCTCTGAGGGCTCAAAGTGGCCTAGTGGGTCTCGAGAGCCAGCCAACAGTCAGCTGATTGTCAGGCTTATTTGCCAGTTCAGAAGGAGCCCCAGGGTTAAGGATCCCAGGCTCCCCCTGTACTAGTAAGTAGGGCACACGTGGTGTCTGATCCCTGATTCCAAAATCATGCCTCCTGCCATGCGCATGTAACATGGCAGGAGATACAATTGTTGGGCTCGTGGATAAGATCCTGTCATGCCTTTAATGGAACATCTGTTATCAGCCTTAGTTCTTACCTTACTTGTTGTACTTGGAGCTGGAGAAAAAATACTCCCATAAATGTTTTTTGCTGCCGTGATTCAAGTAAATAATTACTATATTACAAGTTTGTGCATCCTTTGGCAAAGGTGCTTTTGTATTCAGGAGTCAGTAAGGTAATTTACAAGAACAGGGCTTATAAATATTTTACAGAGACCATTCCCAAAGTAAAAGTATAGTCAGACAGTGTAAATGTATTTTGCTATTTACGTGGTTTTTTAATATGTACATTCTGTCCGGTAGTAAAGAAGGACAGGGTCAAATTTTTCTCTTTGACAAAAAATATGCTGTGTTCTTCATAGCAAAGGGGCAATTTTTCTACCCCTTTGCACTAGTAAAAACAGAAAAATGTAAGTCATTGTAAATGCCTCTGGGAACTATATGAAACAGCATTCCCAATCTTTAAGTAAGGCAACCTGTTTTCCTAATATACAGCAGGCTGCATAGGCATTTCCACATTACAGTGGCTTTGCTTCTGTTATAGAGCCGGGGCTCCTGAAAGAATGTTGTAAAAGCCCTTACATGTTTCTATGTTCTTGTGCTGGGCTTGTCTGTCATGTAAAGTCTATGGAGCTGCTCACAAGCAGAGCTGAAACAGAAATGGCTTGGCTTTGCCATATACCAAATAGTCTTCCCAATTACATCATCCTCTCAAAAGTGAAATGCTGGAATTTCAGAAACGACATTGCTCCATCTGTAACTGATGTCTGGCCAGTGTCATGAGCTACAGTGAACGCTTTCCTCTTCCAAGGGTGTGGTGCCCAGACCAAAGTGCTGATGCCCAAGGGGTGAGAGTGCAAGGAGTTCTGCCTTCTCTAGCACTCCTGGGCAGGGAACGAGAACTCTCCTATAAGGTCGCGTAGGCACTGCTCCCAGTCTGTGCCAGCAGCTTGGCCAAAACTCCCCTAGAAGAATGGATTTAGCTTGTGTGATTTTACAAGAATTGCTGATAGGAGCAAGACTGTTGTATAGAATCAGGCCCCTTATTATCAGCTAATAATGTTTTATATGAAAATTTAAAGTTATCCCAAATTTAGTCTGCTCCTCTAGTTAGCAAAGCCCATTTCCACCCCCCCACCGCCACCTCCACTGCTCTTAGCTCATAGATTGCCTTTCTGCAGAATGTCCGGCTATGTACGTTATGGATACACATGCCTGAGAAGCAGCTCTGAACTGAGCTACAGAGGTTACTTAGAGCAGCCAGACTGATTCTTCCTTGAAAAGTTACATCCTTTTATCATAGGCTTGGCAGCATTCTTGATATGTGTAGGCAATTCTGCCCAAAAAATTCTCCTTTCTAGTTTCTAGCCTTCCCCAGTCTATAAACCTTGTTCCTCTAACAGGCCCTTGACAGCTGAACTGAAAGCCAGGACTGCCGCCAGGCTCCTCTCTCTGGATCATACTTAGGAGCGCTCAGATGACAGGAGTAAGTACATTTGATCAATATTTTCAAAGAAATGGCCCTTTGGATAAGTGCAGACGAGGGCCCCTTGTGAGAGCACTCCCACTGCATTCAGCCTGGCGAGTATGCTCTGCAATAGCCTCTGGCACAGTTTGAACCAGCAGAGTCTGTGCAACAATAGTATTATCTCCAGCTTCCTCTGAAGAGGTTTTTGCAGCATTTTGCTAATAATAATTACAGACCATGGCTAAACCCCAAAAGGCATTATTTATATGCTATTCATTGCAAGAAACGCTTGATGAGAGTTCCTCCTGTTCTAAGCCTCATAACACTTTATTGCAGAACAGTTTACATGCACATTAAAAATGATATGTTTCTAATGGTGATTTTCTACTCTATGGAGAGATTATTTGAGAAAATGAGGTGGGGGAGGCTGTTCTCTCAGCCGTCATAGTATCAGGAGCATTTATAAGATAACTCCATTTTATACTAATGGGAATGATACGGTTCCATTTGTTTGGTAGGAAAGGGAACCCTGTGGTGTCTCTCTTGGTAGGGGAATGAGGTGGAAGCAGAGTTTGTCTCTCAAATTGCCTTTAGATCATTTTTTATTTGGAAATGGAGGCTTAATCCTACACAGTATGAAGTAAATTCTTCAGTTATTTAGTTTGTAAAATTTGCATGAGTGAGGCAATTTGTAGGAAGTGTCAAGAAGAGGTTATGTGTGTCCTGTTTCTATTAACAGTGAAAATATGGGGTTGGCAAAGACCCTTTGATTCAGTTTTGAAAAAAACACCCTGCTGTCTTGGGCAGAGAATTTGACAAGAATGTGGAGGACTAATGGGAAGCTCTGAAATCAGTGACCAGGTTTTCAAAATGCTGAGACCCACAATGAAGTCTGTAAAAGCCCCTGGGTGCCAAGCCAGACTGATATAGGGTCCAACATAATAAGTATTTGGGAAGTTAACTTCTGACCCCATCTTTAAAAAATCTTTGCCTTGGAATAATAGACCTTTGGAGGATCATTTTGTGAACTGGGAATGAGCTTATCCTGCAGACACGGATTGAAAGGCTGAATATACAGCAGTACACAGCTCTACAGAACTCAGTTTATCAGGGCACTCAGAAAAGGTTTAATATGGTTACCAGATACCCCAAAACTGAGGGTTTATGTGGAACGCCTTTTAACTCACCTGTGTTTGCATTAAACAGGCATTGGATAAAATGTATGAGCAGTCCTTGAAAGAAAGGTATCCCATCACCCCAGAGAGTTATGTAACCCCTGGTTATAGTCAGGCTCCTTGTATTATTTTTCTGGCCCCATTAATCTAGAATTCTTTGCTGTCCCATGGCCCAGT